TGTCTATAATTAGCAAACATGCATTCAGTGTATATATTGTATAATTACATGTATTTAAATATATATATCTTTGCTTATGCTTGCAATAATATTGATGGGGACATCTGGACCCCCTGTCAACCCCCCCTGGGAAATCCGCCCCTGCCTCTTACATGTTTTAATGAATTGTTCCCCCTAAATTCACTTGAGGTTTTACTCAAGAGTGTTCAGATCTTTTATTTTATATCATTATATCTCAACATGACAGAGGTCTGATTGTTGGTCATTTTAAGATTCATGTTCATTGCCACTCTCCTCCTCTTCCTATATATATTATTAAACTTGGCCTTACCTGATATGAGCTTGTCAGTCTCTTTAATAACTCTTGTGCGAACACTTTAGATTCTAGCTCCGGTCGGATATAAAAAGCTGCAAAACTATCTTCTTCCCTATGGCTGGATGAAGATTTATGGACAGTGTATAAAGGCAGAGCAGAGTTGGAAATAGGACAAACATGGTGCCTCCCTCAAAAGAATTTAACATGCAGTGAAAGAAGCACGGAACACCTATTACACCTGCTCTCCTATCAGTGGTGAGACCATTAACACTGTGGTCACTTTCTGTTCAAGCCAAGTCATCAGATAGCTTTTTCATCTCCGCTCGGCTCTGAAAAAGTGTCTTCCCATCATCTCTCTCACACAGGTCTACTCATACATATTAATTAGAAATCAAATTGAGGAAGCTCCTCCAACCCCCCATCACTCTAGCAGGGGTATTAATGCAAAACCATTAACGTGTTAACGACCAGCATACTGTAATGATCAATTAACTGACATTATACATGCATTTATTCAATTTGTGCAGCAGAGTTCAAACATCACAGGATAGCATAAGATGAGAGGCCTCAAACATGCTAAAAATGCAGATGATGGTAATGGTACGTACCGTGTGTATACTCTTTAGTGTTTGTATACAAATATATGTGATGTATTTGTCTGGGGCTTCCCAAGACCAAACACTACTCTCCTCCTTCCTGCGGGGGTGGAAGAAGATGATTCTGTTCTCCGCCGAGATTTGTCCCTAGTTGCTGTTGTCATCGCTTCAAACTGCCGGGTCATTACCGCACCACAAGCAGCTTGGCTTAATGTCTTTTGACTTAACGCTAATGACTGACTCTGCATCTGTCCCTGCGGGGAAGACAGCGGACAGGAACGCCATGAAGAGTCACACTAACTTTTATATGCAGCAATTAAGCCAGCGATTCAGGTTTTTGTCAGTTTTCCTAAAAGTATCTCCTGAAGGATGTTTTGGGTTTTCATGTGGACGTTAGCGAAGAAATGATGACCCATTAGAGGAGAGGGGAGGGGGGGGGGAGCAGAAGACTGTTGAGGAAGGAAAGGAAATGATCTGAGAAAAGAGGAAACAAAAGAGGAGAAAAGAAGAGGACAGCTGTGGAAAGAAGAAGAGAAGGGAAAGGAAAGGAAAGGAAAGAATCAGATCTGATCTGATAGAGGGGATGGGAAAGAGGTATAAAAGGAGAGGACAGGTGAGGAAAGGAAAGGAATGATTCAGATCTTAGAAGAGAGGAAAGAGGATGAAAGAGGAGGACGGTGGAGAAAAGAGGAGGGAAAGGAAAGGACAGAAAAGTACATAAATGAAGGAAGAGAAGAGAAGCGGAGACATGTCTGCCACAGCTTCTTTTCCTCTCCCCTTTTCCCTCCACCTCCTTTCACACCCTTCCTTCCATCTCTACTGTATCTCTCCTCTCCCTTCCTCTTTCACTCCCTTTTCCCCCTCTCTAACCCATGCATATTTAACATAGCTGCATCTTCAAAGCAATGAAGTTATTCATTAGCATTTAGAGTGCTAATGAAAGCATGCAGAGTGTTAGCACCCTTACTGTTTCCCTACACCTCTTCTCAACTCCCCTCACCCAACCTCTCCACCATCTACAGCACCTCCTCCTTTCCCCCACCTCACCCACCAACCTGTCCAGGCCCCCTCTGTCGTCCTATCTCTTTACCTTCTAGTGTATTCAGCACAAAATCCAATTACAGAGGGACGGACTCCAAACTTAAAACAGAGAAATGTGTGGGAGAGGTAGCTGCAGAGCCCCGCAGGGTTTTCTTTCTCTCTTCATCCGCCACCGCCACCATCACCTCATCCAGTGTTGCTCTATTCATGTTTCATCCGTCTCTTTCTTTCTCCTTTCTCCCTCTCCTCGTTGCAGCCCGACTGGGAGGGAGGATGTGTTCCCAGTGGTCCTGAAGGTGAGTTGTTTATTCCTTCACATGTCCTCCTTCTCTCTCTGTGCCTCTCTCTATAATCACTCTCTCTTAGCTTCTCATTCCCCACATGCTGAAAAGGCTGGGAGCGGCTGGATGCTCAACTAATTGGACAGGGAACAATGTCTCTCTCTTCTGTTTACTTCCACTCAGTGAATGCCGTGAAAAGTTTGCGCCTTTTGTCACAGGGACCAGGGCAGGATGCAGTTCAGGTCTTCCATCTTTTCTCAGCTTGTGGCCTCAGTCTATCCCCTCAGTGTCTCTCTAACAATACCCCTTCCTGAGGACAGATGAGGTCTTTGAAAGACTCAAAATAAGGTTGGATCTCTACACCATCTCGGCGAGAACAGATTCATCGCTCTCCTACACAAATGTCCAAGGGGCCCATGCAGGTACCCTGATTGACAGGGAGTAAGAGAGAGACCGAGAGTATACAGATGGAATAGGGGAGGAACTGTGGAGGGTGTGATGGAAGAGGAGGAGGAGGTGGGGAAGGAAGACAGACGCTGGAGATAGTGGGTCTTTTGGAGAAACCAGGGGTCTGGGATGAGAGAGGTAATCTGCAGAGGAACAGATTGACTTCCAATCCCTGCCTCCCTTTCCTTCAAAGCAAAGCACGGATTCAGCACTCTGACACGCGCACACACACATGCATGCATTTACGTAGACTTCACTCATGAGAATCCACACAAAAGAGAAAAAAAAACCCTAATGGTGAAATCTCCAGAGCTTTCATGTGCACATGCAAAATTCACACAGGCATGAACAGCAAAAGCAGGTTATCCACTCCCATCACACATATGAACAGTATGCATATACTGTATTGGTGACACACTGCTCCAGCTTGACTCAATGGTGCATTGTTTCGCTCCATTTCTGGCACTAAGACACTCGGGGGTGAGCACAGAATGGTGTTGGCGACTTAAAAGATATGGGTCAATAAAACACAAGGGACATTTTAGCTCAAAAGGAAATTGATTTCTCAGTATCCAGAGTGCGCTGTGACCTTCAGAAACCTTGGCAGGGCCTTTTTCCCGTGACTTTATGAGAATCGATGTACGTTTTTTTGCTTGTTTGTTTCAAACAGTTTAGGTCGTGGCCCCTCAGCCTTTCACTGTAGACCTGAATGGATTTAACAGTAGTTTAAACTATTCAAACCATTTCAACAAACTATGTTTTTAATGAATACATCAGTAGATTAATTTTGATATAAAAGACTTTGTTTGTTAGTTTCTATTTAAAGATAATACCTGTGTTTTCGTGCTATTGCTGTTACAGTATATGTTGGGAAACATACATTCACTTTCTTGCATATTAAGATAAGATATACCACTTATCTTGAGTGGTTCAATTTATAATAAAACATAAAATGTGTATAAAATCAAACCTTGTTTTTGATGCTATATATGGTCAGCCATTTTTTCTATATTCTTTTAATGTATTTAAGTCATGATGTCATGAGCCTCTGTGCCATCGGCTTCCCTGTTTCTCCCCATGTTTCTCATTTCCCATTTCTGTCATCAGTCTTTCTGAAAAATGAACCTTGTTCGACTACATCCCTCACAGCAGTCGTTCTTTTTAAATTTGTGTTCATTAAAATTCACTCTCAAATATTAAGAGAATGATTATATTAGATTAAATAAAAATTTTTTTAAAAACCTGCTGTCCTTATCTAAACATGTGTCTGTTGATAAAGGCTCTGTACTGAAGCTGTATTTTAAGTGATTAGTATTGTAGGAAACCCATAGCATTCTAAATTGCATTTGTGCAACGTAATTTCATTCTACTGTCTGAAGGAAAATAAAGTGAATCTTGATAACAAACGTCAGTAGGCTTTTGAATGAGGTTTTTTTAGCTTTTGGAACAGAACCCAGATATTCTGGTTCCACTTGCCCTCTACACTTTCATTTTTAGTGGTAGAGTTCAACATTCCTCTCACAAGTGAGTCCCAGGGAATGGTGCAGCATTATGTATTATGTCTAGTACGTTCATGTATTCAGCTGCTGCTCATTCAAACAGAACATTTCCTCAGTGGACAAAAAGGTAGCTTGTAAAGCACTGTAAAGCAAAAAAAGGAAACATTAGGTAATTGTACCAAGGTTAGCGTTGACAGCAATGGTAGTAAACCATACCTGCTCTTATACAGTAACTATGGGTCTTAAGGATTATAACTTAAATTATAAAGTTGCATCCAGCAGCGATTTAGCTTCTTTTTCTTCTGTTTTATCTACTCAAGTGTGTCTTCTTAAGTTACATGTAGCATAAATATATCCCTGAGCCTTTTTATTTCATGGTTCTCAATCACATTGTTGTAAAATAGAGTAGCACGGGGGTCAAAAAAAGATGAATGTAACTTTGAAATATATATATATATATATATTTTTTTTTTTTTCAATCCAACTATAACACTCAAACTAAATGCATGAGCTAGTGGCATCACATTCACATTGCCTCTAGAATGACAGAGTTCAGATGTTTCTATAGGATGTTCAATTCCCACTGTCTGCCTGAACCATGAGGAACAGGTAACTAGATGCAGTATTTTGTTACTGCACAGACAATCTTCTATCCTTCTGTTACAAATATAGAAGCTAATTTACATTTAAATAACTCTAAAAAAGGAAATAAACAAAAACTAATACTGCTTGAAAATCACCAGAGCAAACATTCCTGGCCAGAAGAAAACCCTTTCACTTAGTTTGTCCCAGCGATGTCATCCTTGATGTCACCACGAATATAAAAACCAGGACCTTGTGGGCGGCGCCCTCACAAACACTATGCTGCATGGTGGGTTAGAACAAAGGAACACGTGGTGAGTAAGAAACAAACAATTAACCAATGTCCTGACCTGCAAAATAATAAAATATCTCTAAAAGGAACTCATGGTTGTGTGTTTACTTTAATAACCTCATGTTCTTTTATGTGAACTGTGACATATTGCGAACACAAAAAAAGCAGAGATTGTAAGTGATGCAATGTTACAAAAGTTATGGTAAATCATTATAAAACATTTTCAGTGCGCATTCTAAATCTGACTGTTTGTAATGGTCTGTTTACTTGGTCAGTGTTTAAGCTCTGGAGCTACTTCAGATTTAATACACTACAATATACTGTCAGTTGTTGTTTGTGTCCTGGAAGTTGTGTGCAGAGGTCTTTACAGTCTATGGTGCAGAGTGAAGTAAGAAAACTTTGTATTCATCCTACCTGGTTCGTCTGCAATGAAGATTTTAGAGTCAGTGTTTTTCATAAAATGAAACTGGATTTGCCTAATTAATGTTCACATGTGTTGTTTTGTAGACAACTTTGAATGAATTACTTAACTGCTGTTATTTTTTCATATTCCATGTCGGCTACTTAAAAGGTCTGTTAAGAAATCCAAACACTTTTCAGACCCAAGTTCACAATATTTCAGAATAAAAATCTGTAATTCAGTTCAATATAATTTCAGACAGACAGAAGGACAGACATATGTTTGTGGAACTAGAATGCAGATGATGACATATTTACTCTGCTTACTACAGATTTTTGGGGGGGTTTGTTGTGAACTAACTGGAGTTTAGATTTCATGATAAAATGACTAGTTCTTGCGTTTAAGTGACTGAGCTCACTCATGTTGCTTTTGTGTCTTGCTTCACTTCCACCACTGTGCTTCTCTCCCACTTTCCAGGACGTTCTCTGCAACTATCAAGTCAGACCGACTGAATCAGACGGCGATTGAGATCATTAGATCTGCTGATTTAACGAGCTCCCAGCACCCCGTGCAGCTGCGGCAGTGAAGGTTTGCACTGCTGACGTAAACGCACGCACGCACGCACACACACACAAATGCAAATGTATAAATTGATTGGACCTGCTCTGATTTCCCTTGGCAAATACGTGATGCGTGGTTGCGTTCACGGGAAAGAGCTGTCAGCTCCATCACCCCCAATGTATACTGCAACACTTGAGGCATGATACTGAACCCTGTGTGAGAGTTAAAGAGGGAGAGAGGGAAGAATAAAGAGGCAGACGGTGGATATTAAACCAGCCAGAAAGGTTTCAGAGGGATTTCTTGATTACAAATTAATTACATTACATCCAAAGTTTTCTTTTCTTTACTGAAGAGTGGAGGCTTTTCTACTGTCTCAATAACAATTTCAAGAGTATATTTATATTCTCCTTCTGCCGTCCTCTGGCTAAACGGCCACGATTACTATTATCATATGCAGCCACTTCCACGTTTACTCTGAAATCATTCTCATGAAAGTGCTTCATGAGTAAAAACTGGCCAGTGAGATTGGCAGCTCGGGGTCCTGTTCATCATTAATTTTTCTTTGATTGTCCCTGTAAGCGTGTCTGATCTCATTTGGGCTGACTCCGTTAGCCGTGCAGGACGTTAATTTGTTTTGATTGATCCTAAACGGTTGTTGGCCAAAGCGGGACGTTCATACGGAGAGACGGTGGCTTGATATTAAAAATTATGAGATAGTCAGACAATAAGGATTTATATCAATTTATACCTGACCACTTTGCTGTTATACTTTTTGCCATGCAAAAAAAAAAAAAAAATCTAGACATGCATAAAAGGAATTTAAAAAGAAAGTATATCCCAATTGGCTGTCTCCTGCAGAGGCAGATGGTGGAGGGACTAAAGGCTTTTTATGGAACTAACAGGACATGTTCATCCTCTTCAGTAAAGCAATTAAGAAAAAACAAGCAATCTCACTTGTTTAACTGTAATTACACCAAAGTGTCATAATTAAGTAACTATTATACACAATATACAGTGAATGCTACGCATCGAACTGCAGCAGTAGTTGTAGATATAGTTTGATTTACTGTACGTGACAGTTCACTGACTCAACCTGCGACAGATCTGTGCTTACAAATAAATCTTTTCTGACACTTCACAGTCTGAGCAACACTGGAGTAAACAATGAAATGAATGACAGCTGAATTCCATTTAGCTGCTTCAGTTTCAGAGTCCTGGTATCATTCATGTTCTGACACTGTCATGACTTCCTGGGACATTTTGAATAGAGAAGAGCGCTGTTCATGTCGGTAGTGACACCTGAGCTTTTAAAATCACTGTTGAAAAGAAAAAAAACACTAACCATTGTATTTTGTGACGAAGGTTATACATTTAGGCACAAACAAATACCTGGTTAGGTTCAGAGAAAGGTCATGGTTTGTACAAGTACTTTGTTGATAAAAACAGGCGCATAGAGTTTTGTCAACCCATTGTTCCCATTTGTTGCTCCTCCTTTTGTAATATTACCAAAGCTCTGTCTGCTGCAGTTGTAGCACCATGCTGAGCCCAGTGAAGAACCTTGAATGGAATTTGAATGTGATGGTGAGCTGCTGAAGAGAAATATGTCAGTGTCACATGTGACTGTTTGGGAGGACCCCATCAAAAGCTTGGCATCAGCACTTTTGGACGGCTCACCGCTATAGAGCTTTGAATTACCACTTAGATACACTAATTAATTCATCTTTTTGCACTTTGAGAGGGGCAGTATCCATTAAGGGTACATGATTGATTTTATACTGAAGCACATTTTATTGCTATTGAGTATTGTTATTTTTGCATTTTTCTTCCAGCAATGCCAATATGTCTTACCACTACAATAATATAGCTATTAAAGGAACATATATTAACAAATAAAGATACCTTTCAATGGATCATGAGATGTTTTACAAACTACTGCTCTGTCTCTGTCTGTCTGATCATTTAAACCCATTGACCTAATTAGGTTAATTTATTTTAGGTTAATTTATTTGCAGTAGCACATGAATTATGAGGGTTAATATGTCATTATTTATGTTTGCTTACCGTGTGATTTCAAAGCATTGTGCAAAGTCCCAAGGGTTTTTATCCATTAACGTGAATTGCATATGAATTGCATAACGGCCAGTAAACACATTTTTAATTTGATTTTCTTTACTAGTTAACAAATGTGCTACTAGTAAATGGACAAGTTACTCCCTATGTGGTTATATAGGGTTTGACTTATTAAGTTATAATTACAAAGCTAATTATAAACACCAGTAAATTATCAGGCTGAAACTGATAGATTAAAGAACCTCGTTTTTAACAGTGGCACATCATCTCCACACTGAATCCCTGTCACGACTGTTGACCACATGACTACTCCATCATCAAGTTAATCAAGGAACAGTGAGAGTAATTTCTGAGCATTTGGAGGGAGTCTGATTAACTAATCATGTCACAAAAAAATATTCTTTTGAAATCTGGCATGATTTATCATTAACTAGTCTTTCATGCATTGTAAAGCAGCAGCAGCCCCCCCCCCATTGTACAGCTCTTCATCCTCCATGGGTTCATAGGTATTCACAATATTTCCATTTCCCCAGTGGGGATTAATCATGATGCTGGCCATTATAATTTGTTACCAGAAATGTGTCATGTTTGTGTGCGGCGATGCTCGATGTTCTGGAACCGCACGAGTATCGACTCCATCAATCAAAATTACCACAGTAACGTTGTGAGAGCTCAACCACTACTGCGGCCAGTGGAGGGGAAAGGCAATTAGGCTATTCAGGTAGGATATGAGGGAGAGGGAGCTAGGGACAGAGAGAGAGAACACCTGACTAGCAGTAAAAGGGTAGACAGAGCAGAGAGCATGTTTATTCCCCAAGCCACTTAATGCTTTTCTCTTTGTGCTGTATGCCTGTTTGATAACTGGCATTATCTGATTGACTTTGCTCTCTACATAAACAGCCTCCCTGGGTATAAGAGGCTGACTGGTACAAATATTTAGTGCAAGCATCTACAATGCCTGCCAGGAATTTGGAAACTGAAGTTGGAGTGTGGGTTAAATGAGTTTACCAATGTTTTTCCACATTGCTTATTGACTATGATATACAGTACAGTACTGTTTTTTTGGTTTCCACTCAATTCACAACAATAAATATCGAACAAAGACAAAAAGCAAAGTTGCACGTCTTTTTTTTTTTTCCTTCTTTGAGTGTAAATATCAACAGAGACACTTGAAAAGCATAAATTTTTCTTGTTGTGTTGTGATGCTACTTAAATTGTGTATTGCTTCAAAAATGTACCCTGAATTGTTAAATTGCAACAATGTAGCTAGAAAAGATAAAAGCACTGTGACGAGAAGCCAACTGAACCTAATGACCAAACCAGTTCAACTACTGAAACGTATTGTATAGTCGAAGCCTAAAAAAACCTTATCCTTCATAGGCACTGCTGGTCAATCCCACATACGCCCTTCTGCTGTAATAAAAACTCACCCATAATCAATACAGACCAAAAGATGTTTTCTTATTCATCCATAGTGGAAAATAGCTCCCTAACAAAATATTTTTTCTTTTATTACCTCCGCCAAGGAGGTTATGTTTTCATTCTTTCTTTTTGTTTGTTTGTAAGCAAGATTATGCAAAAAACTGCCTGACGGATTCAGGAAATGATTCAATATGGGTCAGGGAAGAAACCATGACATTTTGGTGCAGATCCGTATCAGAGGGAGAATACAGGACATTTTTTATCACTATTTTTAGAAAATATTGTTTGAAAAAATCAGGCACATTTAGGGGTTCTATAGGAGTTTGTGCAGCTTGCTTGAATCTAAGGGGACAGTTGGAGGAGGTTCTCTCTGAGAGCCATTATTGGTCATCTTTTTCTAAAAATCTACTGTGTCCAGGTGTTTTAGTAACTTATAGCCTTTTAAAAGATTTTAAGTACTATTTTTTAAAGATGTTTTGTCTCCTGCAGGAAATGACAGACTTGAGGGTGAGAGCTAGAAGCAGACTGGTTTACAAAGCACCAGGAATACCTCCTCTTCTAAAACACATGGTAGGTGAACTCTCAAACAACTTTGAGACTTTCAGTATGGATGTATCTTCCACTTTGTGAAGGGAAGCTTTCTCCCGTGCAGACCTGCTAAATCAATTATGTGGGCGACTAATCAAGCCACGTGTCAATAACTCATCCCAATTAAGGCACAGGGCAGAAATCAGGCTTTCACTGGAGTCCAGGCCGGTCTGCCTCTTATCGATTCTGTGCTAATGCTGGGCATTTATGCAAGGCTGCTGGTGAACTTCCACAGTGTCTTTCATGCAGCCAACAAGTGCTGTAATCAAGTCTGCAGATCGAGCGAGGAACAAGCCAAACCTGTCAGAATCCATTACTGATTTGTGTGTGTGTCACATGAAGATTGATCAGTGTTGCGCTGCTTGATCACATTTAGAGGGAAGGAAGGAGAATTTTCACACCATCATCTTATGAATTATGTTGCCTCTTTTTCTGTGCTGAGTTATAAGAAATGATAGCATAATTGATTGGTCTGGTCTGCTTTTTTTGATACCCTATAGTGTTCACTGAGGCGAATGAAAGGAAATATATATCAGGAGTGGTGAATTAAAAAAAAAACATGGGGAGGCTCTCTGTTTATCTTTGTTTCTTACATAGTTTTACTTAGAGATCTTCGGCAGTTTAAAACTCAGCCTTGTGTCACTGTGTTTACGAAAGATGAGAAAGATATTCTGCCTGTTCACCATTGAAACCTTTGAAATTATTAGTCACAGCATGTTAGTGACTGAATGTCTATAATCTTCGAATTAGCTTTTTAAAAGGCTAATGGCAATATTAAGTTTCAGAAACATGTCATTCAATTCAGCAAATTTCCCTACTTGAATTGAAGTGGAAATAGGCTTTTGAACAAATCACATAATCATGCATACCATTGATTTTAAATAAAGATGATTTTCTTGTACAATCAATTGAAGCAGCTTCAAATAATTTTGGACCAGTTTTGGCATAAAAACTCAAAAACAAGCTGACAGGTGCACAGACACAACTCCTAGGTTATGTTTTGGCGAACATGTTAGCAAACAGTTTCCTATGTTTATACTTTTGAGTTGTTTTTGGTCACCTGACAAATGTAACTGACTTTATTTTGGTCTCCACCAGTTTATGAGGAAAACATGTAGTTTTAGCTGTTTTAACTTACGCTGCTGAATGTTTTGTGTGTTAGCTGTGGACTTATCTTTGGTTTGGTGCTATATGTAGCATAGGGCTATAGTTGGTTTATCAGAGGTTGTCATTTAAACAACCTACTAGCCTATATTCGAACACTGATGAATCCAGGGTGATGGGAAACACAAACTATGGAACCGATTTGTTGTAATATTTTTGGCCTCATGCTTTGACAATCTGAGACCATCTCTCCCTGTGTTTTTGTTCTTGCTGTCAGTAGTTCTGTTGTCCCTGGAGAACCATCTGTGGCAGGTTGACATTATGTTATTATAGCAATCCTCCTGTTTGACATATTTTGTTCCTTTGTCACCCCTGTACCAACATACTTTTTATAGTTTTGCCTGCAGCAGTATGACGTACACAAGTATACTTGACAGCACAAGTGCGGTGGCTGAATTATAGGAATGACATGCTAGAGTTTGTTTTTCAGAAGATTTTGATGGATTAGCCTCATTATACTCTTCACATAGACTTCTATTAAAAAGCTCCTGACAGACACTCGCATTATAATCTACGATGGAGACATCTTTAGGTATGAAAACAGAGTATTTCCTTCTCTCATATAGAATCAGTCTGATGGTGACGATATTTCTAACCTAAGACAACAGTCGTTGTCTCTGTGTTTGCTATTCGTCTTCTTTAGCACCAACATTGTTACCAATGCTATTCCAAGATCTATTTGCATTAATCAGGATTTTAGTAAAGATGCATGGTACTCATTACACATGGGGCACTGCAGGCAAACAGCAAGCGCACCCTGAAATAAACACGATGAAAACAGGCTGGAAATATGCATAAGTCGAGTGTGTACTTGCACACAGAGAATGAAATACCAAAAGATGTTAGGGAAAAATAAAATGAAGTGCTGTAATGAAAGCCTGCCCGACCATTTATGCTCGCCCCTCATCATTTTGAACAAAGGTGTCGAAAATGGTCCATTCTGCTTGTATCCATCATTCATAAATTAGATAACCTTTATACCTCCTGCATTTCTATTGCTCAAGTGTGTGGAACGCTGCAGCCAGAGGGAGTGAGTCTCTTCTGTTTTTTTTATCAGAATTGTTTCAACTCAATTGGAAACACTGGAAATCTAATTCAGAATAAGCTCCTAATCTTTAAATTTCATTTTCTTACAGAAATGTGTTAATGCCTGCCTTCGTGTTGTGGAAACAATGAGTGTGGAAAAGTGATTTTAATGAAAGAAAGTACCCTGCCTTGGTCTGATAAATGAGCTCATTCCTAATCCTAATTGTGTCAACGGCAGGATTTACCATTTCATTTTCTAAACAAGCACTGGGGCGTCACTCCGTGTTGTGGTTTGCTATCAATCTTTTGTGAATATCTTCAGTTTGTGTTAATTTTGCACTGTGTACTATAGCAGGGAGGGCATGTACCTTTCTCTTCAGGAAATAATTGGCTTTAGCTGTCAGTAAATACGTGGTTTAAATCATAACCCGCCTTATCAGCTGCTCGCCAGTCCTGCCTCGCATGAGTGGGGGGGGGCTGAGCATGTAGACACTAAAGTCTTCTTCCACATTCACAATTCTCAAATTTCATATTTAACTAAACCAGTTTAAGAAATGAATCTTGGCATTAATAAGCCCATTTCCCAGACAGTGCCTTTTCCTTTTTCAACCTTCTTAAACAGTTTTTTGTTAATATGTAATTCAAATTGCCTTGTGCTTTCAGGTCCAAGAAAATGAGAGATGATTTCTCAAGTGGTAAACAAAGCACGGTAATACCTGGTGGAGATGTTTCCATCCAGCCACTCATCCATTACTGTGTTGATTTCATAACCCTTACAGGCAAAGTCAAAACTCACAGGAAGATTATAATTGGACCCTGCGCTGCACACTGCATTATCTGTTTTGTATTTTTTTCATTCTACAGGATAAACGTATAATATAATAACTTCAGTCAATGAAATAATGTTTCAAACTAATATGATCCTGTCATTTAACAGTAGCAATAGCTATATTGTCCCAATGCTTTCTAAGCACACATGTCTCTAAGCTCAATTTTGATGTAAACAATATGAAGAGCAAGTCTTCATATTCTAGAAGTTACAAATTAAATTGATCTTATTCAAAAATTAAAGCACAATAATAATGTGCACATTCTGTTTATAAAGTTTACTCCTCGGTTTGTTGAGGGCCCATCTATAGCTCATGTTCTGGAGCTTTCCGTCATATATCACATGGTCCCAAATCTTCCCTTTTTGTAGACTTTATGGACATCTCACACATGAAGGCTTGAAGATTGAAAAGTCCTTTCTTGACCATGGGAACATGAGAGATTGAAAAATCAGTCTTTTAAGGGCATATGATGAAATGTGACATTTTGAGCTGGTTTGCAATAACTCAACATGTCAGCAACTTCAAATCAGTTCTGTGCATAGTGAGCTTCTTTTATACATTTGACATATAGAAGACAAGGTAAGGTTGCTCTTTATTAGTTCCACCAAGGGAGAATTCACTGTTGGAAACAGAAATATATTGCTCATATATGAATTTACATGGATATAAAATGTGCTGATTATATGTATATGACCCACAAACTGCATGTCTATGTCTTCCTTATTATAGTTTTTATTTGATTGTGTTGAAATCAAAGTACACTGGGCTGTTGTATTGCTTTTACAAGACATTTAAAATATTGCACACTAGTTTTTGCCAAACATCATTTTATCTTAATTTTTGTCTACAATTGTTGAATGCATACAATTCCAAAAATGTATTTAAGAATCACAGTAGACATCATATATATGTGGTGGATATATAGTAACATGGATACTGTCTGCAGTGCTGGGAAAAATGAATGGGCATGAAATCCCGTGCGATTTATAAGGGACCTGCGGGTGCGCGCTGAGGGTGCACACTGCAAAAAATATCCAACCCCGCGAGTCATTCAGTGAAATATCCAGAGTGCAAATGTCTTTATTTTTCAGACGAGAAGAAACCATCCATCAATGGGTAAGATACAACATTGTATTCCTCATGCAAAGCAGGTTTTTCTTCCTTTTATATCCTGTAATCATTTTCATTTATCCACACATGCAATTCCCTTTATTGCAGCACACTCACTTCAACAGGCATCCCTTTAATAAAGATTCCCCCGTGCAGCAAAGCAACTGAAACCATGTCGCAGCATTGTGAGGGGAGACTGATCTGATCACCGAGACTCAACAGCTTGTCGCATTTTTTGCAGCGTGGCTCCTGCTGAAGACTCCGTCTCATACAACAGCAGCCAAGGACAAGAGAGCATCAGAGAGCGGGAGAGAGAGGAAGGTGCCTCCTCTCACTCACCATTGCCATAATTGTCTCGGCGCGTTGAATCGATGTCGGTGTAAACGCAGCGATCTGGAGGAAGCCTGGAGGATTTAACTTCACACTCTCACACACAAGCGGACAAACCTATGCTCGGATTTCGGCTCTTCTCCCCTTCGCCAATGCAAAAGGAAATATGCAGCGAAGCTTCACCATCCTCTACACCAGTTTACTGGGGGTGTGCTTGGGTTCAAGCTCAAGTTTCCCAAGTAACATCAATATAGGTGAGAATTACGCACACGCAGCGCATCCCCTTTGTCTCCGCAACAGATCATCTACTTCTTCTCTACCTCCTCTTTCTCTTGTTTCCAATGTGCGTGTTTTTTTGTTTCCCTGATTTGTCCTCTGCTGCTCAACAGGAGGATTGTTCCCCACCGAATCGCACGAATATGAGGTGTTCCGCTTCGCCCTGTCGCACCACCAGGACATCCCCAAACTGGTGCCGCAGGTGGATATGGTCAGGATGGGGAATAGCTTCTCCATGACATATGCATGTAAGTGTCACCTCTCTGGAAACGCGTGATTTCATCTGTATAATTCAGTCTGTTCAGCCCCCCCCCCCCCGATCTCAGTCTTGTGGATCGACTTGTTCAGGAGCGCATGCAACTCCATGAGCATAATCCTGTCCAGGTATAATCGCATTCATCATAGGCCTGCAAGTGCAAAGACGTGCGTGTTTTATTGTCTTGGTTTAATAACTGTTGCGTGGGACTTGATTTCTCTCCCTTCCTCTGCATGATTGCTGCGTTTTTTTTTGCGCTCCGGGCACAGGGATTTAGATCCAGCCTCAGCAGCATCATCATCATACAGTCATGTAACACCTTTTTTTTTTTTTTTTTTTTACATCTTTAAGAATTGTAAAAAAGAAAAAAAACCTGCTATCACTGATCCACAGTGCTTCTTTGCTTCTTTTAAATCGAGATGGAAAACAGGAGAGGCAGAGCGCAGGAGCAGGGCGCTCTCACCAGGCATTGCGAACAAAGAAGGAGGAAACGACTCTAAATGCATTTCTAATTAGACATGTTTTTGTTTTTTTTAAACAACACGCGCTGTTAAACCCTCCCACAGTAAACATCTCTGCAGAGGCACGCGCACATGCACGCAGATTGTATAGGCTACATTTCAACTTTCAAGACTTGCAGGATTACCTCCAATGTGCATATTAGTAAAACTTCGAGTTAGGATGTGGGCATGGTGCCAGTGGGATGTAGGATTTATGGCCAGTGAAGAAGTTTTAAAATAATCATTATTCTGAGTCACTGGTCAGAGCTGTGGTGACGCCATTCTCCTGTGGGTGATAATGTGTGCCATTATGCCAGCCACACAATCACACTGAGCTTTAGATGACAGTCTGACTTGTTAACGCCATCTTTCCCTGCATACCTGACAACATGTTGATGCCCTCGAGGTTGTCCAGGCATGTTTTCCGCCTGCTCCATCATAGAATCCTTTGAGTATGTCAGTGAAGACGTCCAGGAAATATACCCTCTGACAGCATGGCCTGTCTGTCTGCGATGCTGTGTGACATTGCTTCAGTGACGGGCACTTGGTTTTTTCCCTCAGCCACCGATTGTGGTTTCAAACCTGCGTGAAATTCAAAGACTGGCTCCCATACAGATTAAACAAAGAAAATGGGAAAAATACGACGCAGTTTTATAGAGACATAGCGTACAAGCGTAATGATATTTTGCCTCAGAGGTTTAATGTAATGTGGAACTCAGTATTTGCCACCGAATGTTGAACATCATCACTAGAAGGAAATTTACTCTCATCTGTCACTGATTTCCCTGCCCTTTTCTATTATTTACCACCATCTTCCTATACTTGTTCATAAAACCAGGCTTTATGAACTCCATCCTGTCCAGATCGGGCTTTGTAGTGTGTATTATTCTGCAGAGACGACTTTAAGAACATAAGAGCTTTGTAAAATATTTAAAAACCTGGACATCTACACTCAGCACCACCCCCCCTCCAGCTATTTAGGCCGGGGAGCCGGGCAGGGGTGGTGTAATGAAATGTAAACACACACGAGAAGCCCTCATTAATGAGATGGTCCTCCGCTCAGAAGGGAATATGGTGTGAATGCGAGGGTCCGGCTGCTGTCGAGCGTTTTCCAGGGACGTCGCTAGTGGACCAAATGTGAGACCACAGTGGGGGGTTGCAGGGAGGTGTGAGCATTAATGTCTTAGTCACAGTGTGCAACCAATGGAGAGACAGCAGTATGAATAGTAGGCTGTTAAAGAACAATATGGACACAGTGGCAGTGGCTCTGTTGAAATATCGGGTTAAAGAGATACTTTCTAAATATCTACAAAGATTCATTTTGCACAAAGGAAAAGAGTTCAGGTAACTACCTGAAAACTGATGATTTGACCAAGTATAACCGCCAGTATAGAGAATTTACTAGATCCAGCTGCTATCTATCTGGTACGTGTGTCAGAAGGATTCACAGTGGAAGGAGAAAATGACACCTCATTCCGCCATGTGTCACTTGTTCTAAAAGAGTATTTAGACGTGAAGCCTATAGAGACATATTTGTGAGGGCTCCAGGGCTTGTTTATAATGAGTCAGATGAGAAAAGCTGCTTTGGCTTCTTCCTTCTTGGCTTGCTTTATTTCGTAAGCTTATATGGAGGAGTGAGAGAGTGTGTGTGTCTGTGTGTGTGTATCTGCATCTGTGTAGGTTGTCTTGAGTGAGTGACAGTTCACCTCTGTAAGTGCGTGTGAGTGTGGCCCTCAGGGTACACGAGTGTGAAAAGCGGGGGGTGAATGGCCCCTTGTGCACAGGGATGAATGGAGCTCCGGATGAGGGTGATACTCATCAGCTGGCTCTTATGACTAGCCACTTCCTCTCAGCAGCAAGCCCTTCCAACACACACACACACACACACACACTCACACACACCCACCCACACACACTGACTGGCACCTGCCTAAGGAGTAGGAGTATAAGGGCTGAGGGTGGGAAGGTCAGGGTGAGTAGGGCAAAGGTGAAAGAAGACACAAAGAGGAAAAGATAATAAACCGAATCATTAAATAGTAATCGCCAGTGGAGTCATCAGGGTTGTAATGACGATGGCAACGCTGCCGACATATTTTGAGACAGGGTAGAGGAACTCATTTGCATTTCTGTCTTCTTTCTTCCTCTCGATGTATATAAACCAAGTCATAACGTGATATTTTTAATGGATGATGCCTTTTTTTCTATATGTGCCTTTTTTGTCACATTTTCAGTGAAAGCATTTAGTGAAGTGGCTCCTTTTACGTTTCTACTGGTTAAAAATAACCACCAGGGATGCTGTGTGTACACGCAGGATATTAGTCACTGTTCCCCCTCAGTTAGATATCACATTACCATAATCTGCTATTGACTTGGTTTATAATAAGGACGTCACTGAATCACTAGCGTTGCTTCAAATCCCCTGCAGGCTCCCGCCTACAATATCTACTTCTCCCTTTGATATCCTACACATGTGTGAAGAGATTAAGTCTAAACTTTGGCTCTTTTCTGTGCAGGATATTGCACCTGGCAACACAACCTAGCAACATCATTTAACGTTTGACTTTCACTTGGGAATTTGAAGTCGGATTGAACTTTTTTCTGAGTCACTTACTCACTTCGTTTGATTTTGTGTCCAGTTCAGCCATTGTGATAATAAATCTTTCATTAAGACTAATTAGTGTTCATGGAAAAGACGATTTGTGCTGTCAGTGTGATGCAGGCTGCAGTATTTCCTCAGGTCTCTGAGGGTCAGTTAAACAGGACTGGGGAGGAGGATCTATGAGGCAGCCATGATCAATGAACTGAGCATCGCGTGGAGGCCTGCCCAGCCCGATCAATACGGCACAGATGAGAGGAGGGCGGGGGTTGGGGGACGCTTCCTTCGTGCAGGCCTGGGGGACATATATGAATTATTGCCGGATGCTGGGATGTATGTAGGTCTATGTCACATAGAGAGTGTACAGGTAGAGGTCAAGTCCAGGGGTGGTCCAACGATGATCGTAAATCAAATCCTGCATTGTTGGATACAAGCTGTAACATCAATGGTGCCAATGGGATTTCCCAACAATATCATGTAAAACAATATATATTGGTAACGTACTGGATGTATTTATTAAATTGCTGATAAAAATGAAAGGTGTATCGTTACCACCAGAATTTTCTTGAGACCACAAAACTGATCTGCTTCTGCATCAGGATTTGATACCACAGATGGATAATTAGAAAAGATTGAGCCCAGCAACACTGATGTTCTGAAAACTGTCTGTGGTGTACTAAGACAGTTGCCACTAAAGTTATTTGCCTCTCATAAAGAATGAGGGTAAACAGAAAGTTTGGTTTTGGTAGAAGTGTGTGGATGCTTTGACCTTTCTCTCATGTGCTGCAGATTTTCGGATATTTTTTTCTTTTCTTCATACTGCCTCCGATTTTGTGTATCAACCAATACCAAGTACAAACGGATTTTGGTGCCTAAAATCATAACTGAAAAAAAAAAAATCTGATCAAGTAAAACAAAACAATTACGTCTTAAAAACAGTTTGAAACTGAAGTTTTGCATGATACATATCTCTTTTTTTACTTGTTGAACTTTCCAGTGTGAAACACGACTGGAAATCACTTCTTCGCTGTTTAAAAAACATTACTTGCCAGTGGAAATACAATACAACTGCTGTTTTGGAGCAGTGAAGACGATGTGATGTCTGGGAGAAGAAAATTGCAGTTTCATCTGGGCGGTGCACAGATTCATGTACTCGCCGATGGTATCTTTAACAGAACGACTCTACAGTGCACCATGCCAAGTACTATATCGTCATATTTTTCACTAACAGCAGCTTCCATGGTGACTGAGAGGCAGAGTGCTGTATTGTTTCATAGAGTAGTATAACTCAACATAGAAATATTACTTTTGGTTGTTACAACTTATTAACTCTATCGAAGAGGTTATGTTTTCCTCAGTGTTTGATTGTTTATTTCTTAGCAGGATTATGCAAAAAAAGATTTTCACCTTTGTATTACAATGAATAATCTGACGTTTATGGTGTTGAGTTCAGGGAGTTTGTACATTTTGGTGCAGATTCAGATAATAATCCAGTTCTGAGAGACACGTGTAAGATTGCTTCGCCTCGGCAGATGTAAATGCTCCACTTTGTGATATTGTAGTTTTATTCAGTAATATCATTGTAGTCATGAAGATAGTGGTTGAGATTTGGGGTTGCTGTGTTCCACCTAAAGAGAACTCTGAAAGGGCAAGAGACACAGGCAGCCGGGCGGTCAGGCTGCTTTTAACACTTCACCAAGTTAACCAAAGCTATTTTAAAGAGAAAATGGAAAAGTTATAACCCAAGCCGACTTCAGGGTGGATCAATCAGGTGTCTTTACTCTTAGTTTGGCACCAAAATAGTTTAGACCAATGGTTCCCAGACTTTCTGGCTTCTGACCCCTCACAAAACAATGATTGTGTTCTAATGTGGCCATTTTCCCCTATTTTAAAAAC